CGTGAAAAACAACGAACGAAAGAATCATCCGTTTTCTCATGTTCTAAGAAACGTGCGCACGCCTAAGCGAACTCGTGCGTCGATATATATATTCAACATAACGTGCAACCAATGCGATGCAATACATAAACATAAACGAACGCTCATTTGTCGAAACTGAGCAGACGCTTTTCTCTGAATCATATAAATACAACTCGCGAAAGGCGATCCGTTCTCTTTCCTGACTTTCTGTAGGTGCGCATAAAGTCATGTATAGAAATTTGTGTCCCGAAGTGAGAGGTCGCATAGTTGGACAGTGGCAGTCTGGGAGATCAATAGCAGACAATACTTTGTTCATACTGAACAAAAAAGTCCTGTACTTTTTTCTTAATAACTTTACAGATTTTTAGTTATTCATAAGATAAAATTATATTATCGCGAGTAACCGTCCGCCAATCTTTTTTAATTAAAAATATACAAAGTTATTACGAAAATAGTAAAATACTTTTTTGTCTTAATATATAAGCACACAATGTAACGGTCGGTCTCGGCCGGATTATGCTTATTGGCTTTCCAGGATTTGGAGGGCGGAAATAAGTTTTATTAAACAGACGGATCTTTTATTTGTCCAATTCGTAGCCTTTACTATGTTGTATTAGATGTGTGTACAATTCTACACCTTGGCGCGTATCTCAAACGTGGTGCTTGTTTTCAAGTATTGAGCGTTATCACTCGCGTTATCACTCGCGATGACAATCGCTTTCGGTTCGATGTATACGGTATGTTTGTCTCTGTATGTATGTATACGGTTAGAAAGAAAAATGAGAGTGACCATGCCTGCATTTAGAGCGTGATAGGAAAGTTGGCTAATTTGCAGTGTCTCTATATCCATTTTTCATGGACATTAAACTATTAAGCCTCTCGTGCGATGCCGAGTCATGGCTCGATGTTGGCAGAACCACAGCAGCCAATATTCACTATCTGATCGCGGCGCGACGCCGTCCAAGCCAGCTTGCCGACTTTTATCCGCGATATTGTCTTTCCACATAGAACAAAATATTTAATAGACATAATAATAGACATAATATATAATAGATTTATAAATCTATGGAACATCTATGTTTATTGAAGTTGTAATCCACACACACACCCACACACACACACACACACACACACACACACACACACACACACACACACACACACATATAGGGTGTTGAAAAAAAAGGGTCACATATTTTAATAGCAGGTAGTATTGATCAAAACAAGAACAAAAGGTCTAATTAACATGGGTCCTAAGACTAATATCTTCTAAGATACAAGCTATTTTGTTATTTGAGCTCTTTGTCATTTTCTTATTAGTCGTGTCATCTTTAGAATGTAATGAACAAAGGAGTAGGGGAGAGTGGGGTACAATGGGGATATTTTTTTTCTAGGTGCCTTAAAAAATAAAAAATTAAACACTCTTTTGTTTACTAGGACTGCTCACATTTGTTAAGGCCTACGCAATGTCGTTTGACTTGTAGTATCTATTGCGAACTAAACGTAATTATCAGGAGAGAAATGAAGTTAGAGTGCGTGATTTGAAAGAGTGCGTGATTCTCTAAGACGTAGGACTGAAACATGCGTGAAAGTGAATGGCAATCACATAGAGCACCTCCTTTAATGCTGAGTCAGATTAAAATTTTTTGTTTTTTATAAAAAAAGTTTTTATTTTGTTATCATACATTCAGTTTCTTTACTTCAGTTTTTTTATGGAAGATAAATGATTACATTCCATATTAAAATAAAAATTGTTTCTTTATCTCTCTTTGTTAATTTTTTATTTTTTAAGGCACCTAGAAAAAAGATATCCCTATTGTATCCCACTCTCCCCTACTCCTTTGTTCATTACATTCTAAAGATGACACGACTAATAAGAAAATGACAAAGAGCTCAAATAACAAAATAGCTTGTATCTTAAAAGATATTAGTCTTAGGACCCATGTTAATTAGACCTTTTGTTCTTGTTTTGATCAATACTACCTGCTATTAAAATATGTGACCCTTTTTTTTCAACACCCTATATGTGTGTGTGTGTGTGTGTGTGTGTGTGTGTGTGTGTGTGTGTGTGTGTGT